AAGGTGACTAGACAGGCATTCATAAATTATATGAATCATCCTTTACTTGGTGGGAATGGTCAGTATTTGTAGTGGCATTGGTTCTTAACCAAACGATCTTTGAAGCCGAGTGTATAATTACTGAAAAGATGTATATTCAACATTTAACACTGAGAGGTCAGCAATAGTGAACGCAGGAACAATCAGTCGGTGGCATGGCTCAGCTTTGTAGACGTGCTCATTTTGTATAACTTGTCTTTATTCAAATGATATATATTATTCTATCTCCAGCCCAAATGTGTTCTTCAGAAATATTAGACGTTATATAGTTGATTCTTACGATATGACTAGTCAGAATAGACAATGATGTGAATTTCACGTAAGATCTCATAGATTAGATAGTCCCATCATGATAAATCTACAATTTTAGGATTAGGTCTATTATTAAGTTAGTATTAATACCGAACTAGATCATAATTCTACATATGTACCAAGCTTGATATCATTCACTTTTTAGATTTATCTTTTTTAAAGTCCTTTAATATCTTCTTTACTTTCCACCACTCCCTATTTTTTGATATCATCTACAAATAAAGATTATAGTGACACGAGGTCAGTAAGAAAATTGTCTATTCATGGGTAGAATAATTCTGTCTCCAATACTACACCCTAGGAAATTTTAAATGTTTCCTATTATCACTTCCGTTCACTTTTTCAGCGAAATGAATAAGCTTAGACATCTTCTAGTCCTTGTATAACCTACAACTTCAGGTATTTATTTCTTGAACTTCCTCTTTATTGAGCTTCTTTAATGATTTTATAAGTTAAAGGTGGTTAAACTACAGTCAGACCAAATTCGATCCTTTATATCATTTATAAATGTGTTAAGCCAACCAAAAGATAATTTAAATGTACTTAAAACAAACATGAATATTATGTTAGGATCTTAGGAAATAGAACTCAAAATCAAGTTTAATTCAATGTCCAGAAAATTTGATGAACTGAACTAAACTGGCCTAACTGGGATCTACTCAGAAATATAGTCGGCCGATTTCACCACTCAATAATGGATTTTCACAACACTTCAAAGCATTTAAACTGTTTAGACTACAACTTAGTTGTTTAGCTTCTCAATTTTATTTAAACACTGAGGTAACTAATAGTTACCACTACACCTGAAAGCTAACGACAGCCTGAATCGACACTGAAACTATGAAATTTTTACTGATTTTCTTCATTCATTAACAGTGCTCGAATCTTAATTAAGGAGATTTCTCACCTAAATTGTTCACTCTTTTTAAAAATCAACTTATATTTACGATCAATCTATGAGATTCAGTACACTCAAATGCAGATTTCAACCCATAGATGTAAATTTCGAGTCAACATTATGCAATACGACATATAGCGAATGAAAAACTGTACATAGCTCTATTTATCGATTTCATGGATTGGTTGAAGTTAGACATTAACACTATTGGATACCGACTCAGTGTCTAGAGGTTAAGTGTTCGCGCGCGAGACTGATAGGTCCTGGGTTCGAATCTCGCGAGGGGGGATCATGGATGAGCACTGCTAAGGAGTCCCACAATAGAACGAAACGGCCGTCCAGTGCTTTCAGGTTTTCCATGATGATCTAGCTTCAACTGACTCATGATCTCAACTATTGAAATTACTATAATATCCCCAAAAAACCCTTTCTGATAATGGATAATATACCATTTTCGACATTATTGATTACGTACATATATTAGTTACATTAATCAATGATGGATTTTAGTAACGTGATTAGAAAAAACATTTTGGCATTTTATATCAACATCCAACCTGATAATAAATGAGTTCATGTAATCCTCTAATAAAAGTATTTGCTAACTTATATTAGAAAAGTAAACAACGTTTATTGATGATAATATTGACTTTTCTCTAATTTATTTTTCTTTATTTTGATCCTTTTACTATTCATTGTTACTTTCCTTTTCAATTAATCCTTCGAAAGTATAGAAAAAAAAAGCAAAAACTATATGGTTGCAAATTGATAAACAAAAACTTTTACCAGAACAAAATGAATTCATTCTGTTCTGCTCCAGTTGTTTTCTTTCTTTATTCAATCCCTTTTTTCTGTATAGAAGAAACAAGTTTTATTAACAAACGAACAAAAAAATAGATGATAATAGTAAAGGACAATGCTTAAATACAATCGGTATATAACTATGCCTAAATACTGTTCTTCATATATAGTTTTGGGAATATGAAATGATGTAGACTATTTGTTGTATAGATGAATACTATTAAATAAAGATAATATAACCAACAAAGATAACCAATCAAAAACAAGGTCATCAGAATGGATTGATTGAATGCTTGTGGGATAATTCATTTCTACATTAAGCAGTCGTTTATACTGTTATTGAAAATGACAATGTTAACTTCTTAATTTAACCAGTAGGTTCTGGGTTCGAATCCCGTGGGGTGCGGAATCGTGGATGCGCACTGCTGAGGAGTCCCACAATAGGATGAAACGGCCGTCCAGTGCTTCCAGGTTTTCCATGGTGGTCTAGCTTCAATTGACTCATAATCTCAATCATTGAACTTACTATAATATCCACAAAACCCTTCTGATATATTGGAATTACTTCCAAAATAGTAGTTTAAAATGAAATCTTTTTTTAAAAAAATGCATCTTGTTTTTATTTAGAATTAAAACATTTACTTGCTATCCATTACCTTGTCAATTCATAAGCATTTGTACTCTTATTTTGTTAATATTCAACAATGAATCGGTATTACAAAATGATGTTGTTGTATTCGTATTAAAATAATAAGAAAAACATTTTAGTCATCTCACGACATTCACGTGATAATTCGTTATTAATTTACTAAGTCTATTGTTATTATTCGTATTATGTAATTTAGTATGATCAACTTTCTATTACATCATCTTGATTATTCGTGTTCACATTTCTTCAAGGAACTAGCACTCTAACAGCTTGATAATAAATTCGTTGAAAAGAGATCCCTTGTCTGAACTTCCTGTTTTTAAATTTATAATATCTTAGTGAATAGGAAATTGAATTTCTGACGTTTTGCAGCTTAGTATTATTGTCATCAATTATCATCAATTATTATTATTACCAATAAATTATTTGTTTTTAATGTAGGTAAAAATGCTTTCGTCTATTGCATTACATAATAATCTGTCTAATGAAATAAACATAAACACTACAAAACAAAACAGTTCTATAACATACGCAAATACAACAAGGACAACAACAAAAAACATAGATAAGTTACAAAATGGAACAGTTTTACGACGTAAATAAAATTCATACAATAGAAAGAAACAATCGTTTTTCTAATCTTTTTAACATTGAAATCAAAACAGTCTAGTTTGCTTTATTTTGTTTGTATTTTTTTGAATATAAATTAGCCATAATTTAACAGATAATGTTTGTTCAAATAAAAAGTTATCAAACAAGGAAAAACGACTAGTTTACAACTTTTTGTCTGATTTTTAGGGATGAAACAACGGATATGATTAAAGGAGGGATAAAGATGGTAATTGCTGTTATGGTCGTGTTTCCATACTGACTAGATGGATATTAACGAGAAGATTGACGAAATCAATAGTTCTCATTTTGGGAGCATGACCTTCGTGATTGAAAATTGATCCTTTCAATCTAGACGATTGTCGCACCCATTGTATTCCGAGTAATAGGAACAAAAAAAGAGGATAATTTGGCCATACAAACCAGAATATTTTATTAATCAAACTATCACTGCCCTTATACGAGTAAGATTGTGTTTCTTGCCACATAGATCATTATTTTTGTGTACAACAGCGTACGAGAACAAGTAGTCTTAAAGTATTGGTCTCTCCCCCTCTATCATCTTTATTTCTCTCTAAAGCAAATATCATTGTGAATGATAAATTGGCTATTGTGGTAAATTACTACAAACTACAAGTTTTTGATTATTTCGTTATATCCTTTACAATGAAATATGAAAGGCAAAATAATTTTTTTAATGGCTTTGAAGTCAGATAAAGTATGTGAAAAGGGTATTTGTTAAGAAGTTAAAATAAATAAAAACGTAAATTGACTTAAAAACATAAACTGTGTTTCGTTCAACTATTCCATCTTCTGCTCCCATATTCACTTTGTTAACGTTTAAGATAGATATAGTATAATGTGTTATGCTGTTCATATTATGTTTTCAATAGCGTCAATATTAAACCTAGTAATTCCGTTACTGTATATTTTCACACAAATTATAGGACAAGCTAGTTTTCACCTTTATAAACCTTGTTCGGTGGAATCTTTTGACAAGATCTGACTTCAAAGTGAAAACGTAGAGAATTAACTCTTATTATTTAAAAAAAATTGGATGCCGCCTAATTATGCATCGTCAGATAGTACAAAATGAAAAACCATTTACGTGTATTTATGACCTCAACCGAAGAACACGAGATAGAATAGACATCGTAACTTTCGAACCAGGAAGTGTGTACATGTTCAACTAACAAACATACAAACAAGTATACGTCCTTCCACAGTTCAATTAAATATTCGGTGGTATACGAAGCTAAACTATCACTATACAGATAAGCTATAAACGGGTTACATAGGTTAACAGTAACATAAATATTATCAGGAAGTTTACTGTGTACATTTTGTAGTACTGTACGTCAGACATAGAAGTAACTGCAAACATGCTCCACACTCTTTTCCGGAAGATTTGGAAGGAAGAACAAGTGCCACCGACAGACCGGAAAGAAGAATATCTCATCAAGATACCAAACAAAGGACATCTAAGCAAATGTAGGAACTACAGATGTATCATACTACTAAAGGCATCAGGAAAAGTTTCCAACAGTGTCGCTAAGCAGGATGAAAGATTAAGTAGACGACCAGCGTTGAGATCAGCAAGCTGGATTCCATAAGGATCGGTCATGCATAGACCAAATCGCGACAAGACGGATCATCGTTGAACAATTAATTGAATGGAACTCGTCACTATACATCAACCTTCTTCACTGTGAGAAAGCGTTTGACAGCATGGACATGAGAACCTAATGGAATCCTCTTCGACATTATGGAGTGAGTATTTGAGAAGATCGTCATCATCATACGGAATTCATACGACGGACTACATTGCAAAGTCGTGAATGAAGGACATCTGACAGATGAATTCCAATTGAGGACGGGAGCCAGATAAGACTGCTTACTCTCCCCCTCTCTCTTTCTTCTGGTGGTTGACAAGATTATGAAGAACTCCATATCTGAGGTGAAGCATGGAACACGATGAACAGCTTGGATGCAACTAGACGATTTGGACTTCGCAGATGATCTAGCTCTTCTATCTCATACACATCAACAGATGCAGATGAAGACAGTCAGTATAGTAGCAGCCTCTGCAGCAGTTGACCTCAACATACACGAAGAAAAACCAACATCCTCAAATATAACACACGGAACACTAACACTAACAATTTCTAGAACTACCACAACCATAATCGAAAATGTACAATTATTCCTCAACAATTTTCCACGTCAAATACTCAATGTCCGTTGACAGGATACCATCAGCAACAACCTACTATGGGTGAGAACAAACCAACTACCAGTTGGATAAGAAATTAGGAACATATGTTGGAGTTGAATAGGACACGCGTTAAGGAAACCTTCGACGTGCATCACGAGGTGAGCGCTAACTTGGAATCGTGAAGGTAAAAGGGAAGGAGGAAGACCAAAGAACACACTGAGTCGGGAATTGGAAGCAGACAAAAAAGGGCGAATAGCAACTGGAACAACATGGAAGGATTGTCTAGGACAGAGTTGAATGAAGAATGCTGGTGGGCCCCCATGCTCCTCGACGAGGGGTAACAGGTATATATATAACTCAGAACCAGGTCAACTAGAATCCAGACTGTCATTTTGATGAAACTGAATAGGTCAGCAACATGGAGTTTTATCTCACATTCACATTCGTCATGATTTGAATGAATAGTTTAGCTTGAATTGAGCACGTAGTTTGTAGACGCGATTAAAAATAAAATGATATTCATAAAATCTTTTCATGATTGAAATTTGGTAAATTCATCATCTTGCTTAACATTATAGTTTAAGTGTGAAATTAAAGTTATAGAGTGTTTTACAAATATTATTTTATTTTAACGATAATCATTATTACTTATTTTTTTGGCCATCAAGTGTACTACACAGTTTTTATATCATCGTTCTGCATAAATTAGTTGATCAAGTGTTAGAAGTCTGTATAGTAATTAGATTGGATAAGAGCCTGTAATAGATAATGAAGATAGGTATGTCAGACCATTAGAAATTCCAGCCTCAGATTACATATTACAAAAAAAATAGGACACCGACAGATAAAGATATTTCCAAATGATTTATGATGTTAACAGAGTCTATATCCTAATAGACTACTATATAGATTAAACTAATGATAAATACGACTGTATAGCTTGTGTAAATGATATCGTTAATAAAAGATTCTCTTCAATGAACAATCTTTATCCTTTCATCAACTAATAGTTTATTAACAAGTACTATTCTGTACATTGTACTATGTCCGGACGAGAATAAATAAAAGGTTACCGTTAGGAATTACGTATGAACTAATAATATACGGATATTCTTATCATATGACTATTAAGTAACTATATACATATTCTTTTCATTTGACTTATTGTTATATGATTTACTATTCACAGGTTATTCTCAGTCTGTTAGTCACAGTTCCTCACAATCACAGCCTCTTCTGGCTTGTTCTTGTGCAAATGTTATTTTCTATTTTCTTGTGTGATTTAAAACATATGATTCGTATCGCGGAGGCTGAGATTGGTGTTCTAGACCTAACAGGCAGGGCTAGGTGGAAAAAGGACCAGTCGGAACTCTAGGCTGCCCGTACTAGTGTATGCGTCATTAGTTTGGGCGTATAAGTCAGCGTATTTAAATCGGCAATAGTATTTCGTGATAATTCTACAGCTAAGGACATGACAAAAGGAAATAAAGATTTCTGATAAAAGACAACAAAGCGTTATGATAAGCATTAATGTATGTGACAAATTGGTGATGATTTCCCTTAAAAAGGTGTATGTAAGGGTAACTAAATCACAAGTTGGGACTTAAAGATAATACACACAGAAAATTCACTAGTTATTAGTTATTAGAGATTCCTTTCAAATAATTATTCATTTTGGACGCAGCACCTGCTGAGAAACCGTCACCAAGGTTTTTCCGCCTGTTTATCCACATTTCCTGCTAGTATTGCCTCAAACATTTCGAGAAAAATACTGTCGTACGTATATGAGTCCATAATTATGTCTTTTGTCAGCAGTGTCTGTGAACGTGGATAATAACAAACTTAGGATTACTAGTAAACAGAAGCATATATCAGTGAAAGTCCTTTTTAGTGTCCCAAAATAATGTTTATCAAATATTGTTCACATACATTTTAACTAAAGTTTAACAAACTTAGACTTTCAGCAACTATTGAGAAAATGTAAAAATGTTATTTTTAGTATTAATCCTCAGCATATTAAAAAAACAGATGAATTTCCATCGATGATAGGTTAGAAAACTTTGATCTCCCTGTTTTAGAGCAAGCGGACTAAAAATTCCTTAGATTTAGAGTTTGTGACATTAAAAATAGATATTTTATTGAAATTCGATGCTGTCTGAATCTTATCAAGTCCTCATGGTAGCAACAGATCCAGTAATATCTTGGTTACACATATAAAAGCCTGACAGAGATCTTACCATAAGCAGTTATCAGTCAGTCAGTAACAACGTGGAACTTCTTAAGTACGTACGTACATCAGTTCGAGTTGCCATACCACATTAGCACAGAGATGCAGTGGTCGATTCAAACCCCGTAGTGTTGGAGGTAGTAAGAGTATAAGCAGTAATCGGAAAGATTGGGGTTTGAAGATGTTATTTAAAGAGTATAATCCAGTGAAATAAATCCGGAAAGAGGAAAAAGAAAGGGACATGAAGAATTCAGAAGATTAGAATGTGGGAGGACACAAAGAGTGGATGCACCTGCGCCATTGCAAACGATTTTGAGCCATGTCATTCAGGGTCTCTAACCATCGGTTGCTATCATCTCGCGGTCCCCAACCAGGTAGTCTACACCTACCAACATGACTCAGTCCACTTGTCAGTGACTTCATGGACTTGTGCCATGTTTTGGTCTGGCCGCCCCTAGCTTTCTTCCAACCTACTCCTACACCACTGAGCATCGCACGTCGAGGCAGTCGGTCGTTGGGCATACGTAACACGTGTCCAAGCCATCTCAACCGATGAAGTTTCACTACTTCATCAATTGATTTGCCATCCTTACCTAGTACCCGTTTCCTAACAACTGCATTACTTACTCGATGGTCCCAGGATACACGAGCAATGTTTCGAAGACACCTATGATCAATTACTAGTAACCTACGAATATCTTCTACTCTTACCGGGCCTGTTTCACTGCCATAAAGTAGGACGGAACGAACTGCTGCACAGTAAACACGTACTTGGTTGATAGACGGATATCTCGCCTACGCCATAAATGACGCAAGTTGGTAAAAGCTAGTCGAGCCTTTTGTATCCGCGCTGAGAATTCGTCACACACCAGACCACAAGGGCTGATGAGACTTTCCAGATAAGTGAAGCGGCCGAAACGCTAGTTTTTTTAGATTAATAAAGTGCCTAAATACCCATACCCTAGATTATTTTGACAACTTAATAAAATCCTTTTGAGGTCTACCATCGGTGAATAAAAAAACCTCATCACTCTAAAGTCAGTTTTATACTACTGGTATTAATTTAGTAGCATAAATTGTATGAACTAAAATAGATTAACGAGCTTTCATAGAAGACATGTCTAAAATGTACAATTTTCCAATTGTTAGTCGTTCATCACCAGATACCAGTGTTTCATGAAAATCATCCTCATGCAAATGATTCTCGGAACATCGTAATACAACACCATCCTTAATAGAAGTAAATTTAAAGAACTCTAAAGCTAACTGAAGCATTACGTTTACGAAAGTCCTAAGTGCGAGCGCAGTTATAAAGTACGACGAGATAAAGTAATGAACAGCTACTCGATGTTACTAAGTGGTCTCACTGACAGAGTAATTCATAAATTGAGAACTGTTTTATAAACTTCCCATAATTATTCATAATATATACCAACACACAGTATAAAAGGTCTAAATGAAAAAGCTTTATACTTAGTTTTTCATGATTAATTAGGATACCCAGTGTTGCTTTGAAATAAATACCATGGTTCATGCAGTCTTGCTAAGATTTTTTAAGAATCATAGCACTTCCTCTGGTGTCGGTAAAATTAGAGTTTATTTCATGTTGGCTCCACAGTTTTAAGGAATTTCATAAACGTTAAAATTTCGTAATTAGGAAGGATATCGGATATTCGTTAGATTCAGACTATATATCTCGAAAATAACTAACTCTGATAAATTGATTATTTTGTGTTCACATTTGCTGCACTAGTTATGGTCAATTTAATTTGCCTTCGTAATACATCAAGTTCATTTCCCAAAGTATAAATCTTTAGAATAATTAATTTTGAGCAATCCTTTGTGAGGCAAACCCTAACTTGGAATCCTGAAGAGAAACGGAAAAGAGGAAGGCCAAAGAACACATTACATCGAGAAATAGAAGTAAATACGGAAAGGATGAATAATGACTGGAAAGGACTGCCCAAGACAGGGTTGAATGGAGAGTGATGGTGGGGGCTTATGCTCCTCTATGAGGAGTAACAGGTGTAAGTTTGTGGGGTACTCGGGCTCTAAATGGTCTTCACAATATAACCCAAAAATAAACATGTTTCACTTTTACATAACTTATTTTATAAATACATCAACAACAGTCAATGCAGAATGACAAATATTCATTGAATTCCCTGGCCAAGATAAATTCCGTCCAGTTAAAATTACATTTTATTTAAGAACACTACTAGGAACTGTATCATGACTATAAATGCCTTCCTTCCTCATTTATGTCTGCAGCCACTAAATTGCATGATCCTTAAGACCCTAATCACAAAATCTCAATGAGTCAGGACAGGTTAATCCAACCAATACGATTTACTACTTGGACACGACAATCCGTGGGTCTAATTTACTTAAAACAATTGGTTGATAGTGATGAGTTTTTGACCACCAGATGAGTTATATGAACGCATGATCAGAATCCTGACAGGGAGTTAGGAGTGTGGAAGATCTCTACTTACAAGCACCATCGATAACTAATAGCGATATGATCTATTTGAGTTTAAGAAATAGAACACCAAGTAACATGCCAACGACAGCTGTCTACGAATTCGGCGTTTTTTTTTTGTGAAAATATTTTAGCATTTTCGCAACTCTATACAAGCTTATTTCTAGCATTTAATCTACCACAGAAATATTGGTCGAAACAGTTTTCTCTGTTCTCACTTTATCACGTATATTTGCGTCTTTAGCTAGTCCCATGCAATCTGTTCAGCGCGTTTTGTTAAAGCTATCGAATTCATGAAAGAACACTTCTTTAGTTGGATTTTAGTGCAATATGAGAAGACATATGTATACCACTGTATTCTTTGCCAATTACTTTTTATTTTAAATGAACTTGATAGCCCAGAGTCATATGAAACTTTTTTCTGAGGACCCTTTCAATTGGTGTTGCTTTGTCTGTAGTGCTGAGTGCAGCACCAATCCAACTAGGTTGGACATAAATTACAATAAGAAATACGTTGTTAGTACTTTTCAAATTTCTACCATTCTTCTGATTAAAGCGAGACCTTTGAGTGATATATCTTGTCCATTCGATATGAAAACTTTGTCAAGTGAAAATAGGATCCATAAATATTACGTCAATATCAAGATTCTTGCACCGAAAAACATCATCCATAGAATTCTTTTAAGATGCTGGAACATCTTCCCCTAGATACGCCACAATAAACAGTATTGTTAATAATGATCAATCACATCGTTTTCAACAACTATTTAACTGCTGTTTACACAACAAAAAACCTAACAAGAAAGCGCAATAGAACAAGCCTTTACATCGGTTACACAAGTAGACATCATCCCAAAATAATTAATCATAGTAAGATATACTATAGGAACACACTAAATCGAAAATAATATATGTCAAACGATTTACTACTAATCCGATAGATAACAAGCTTAGTGATTCAATAGGTTTGCACTAACTAGTGTGAGAATTTACACTATATAATAATAATAATAATAATAATAATAATAATAATAATAATAATAATGCTTTCAACAAATGATATATTTATCTAACTGTTGATCACGGAAAACACAAATTACAAAAAACTAAAAAACGAACGAGAAAATTGAGCAAATATCGAGTTATAAAGAACAAAACCTTGAAACAATTAGGTCAGTTTCCTAGAAAAGTACATAGATTGTAAAAAGACAAGAGTATGTTAGAAAATAATTGCGACACTGTAGTTTTGCACCTCTAATTTCGAACATGTTTGGCACATATACTGCATCTTCTTGTTCAGAACATGATCGGTAAAAGTAACACATAAATGAACACCTAGAGATCTCATTAGAAATCATAATGAATTTTTCAAGGTATTTTTCATAGCCATGTACATAAAAGATAGAATATAAACCATTAATTTCGACAAAAATGTTGATGAAAGTACAAAATATAATGTCTGATCTATTTAAAACGAGATTATAAAACACGTGATAAAAAGAATCATTCGCTAATAGAACTAGTGCTATCATTTCGGTTTTGGCCCTCGGAAAGGCGTCTATAAGATGAAGAGTAACTAAATCGTTGAATCAGTGAATAACAACACAAGATATTTTGATTTCTACTAAGAATGGGACGACTGTACAGTATTAAGCCTGTGAAACACGGAATTAAAGAAAGGCCAGAATTTACAGCTGTAAAAACTCTTGTTACGGTATGTGAGTTGGAAATCTAAAAATTAAGTAGAAGAGGAAGAAGTTTCAAAGTGATTAATTTCAGGGGTTTGGTTACATAAAAGTTATTTTCTTAGAAATCTTGAGTTGATATAAGCGGAAGAACTACTGAAACGTATGGTTTTTGAGTAACAGAGACTGGGTGATTACGGGAACCCAGTCTGTGATTATTGTAACATGAATTCAAATATCACTGCAATTATTTTCATCGGACAATTCGGGTATTATACCTATCTTTTGTGCAATAAATGTAGCACGAAGTAAAATACGTGAAGCTATGCTAAGTGAGTTTAGTTAAACAATCGACATGTTTTTAGTTGATGAATGTTAGCCACTAAATTTTGACCATCCGTATCAATCGTAATATGGTTAGTGATTGATCTAGCAACCCTAAATTTAGTCATGGATCTTGTTCAGAATGAAATAATTATTTACTGGCCAAAGATTTCCAGTGGTTACTCGATGAACATCATTTGGTCGTGAAAAACTACTTTTCAAATGTTATACTTTCATGATGAATCATTGCTAACAATATACACTTCAATAGTTAGCTATCGGATCAAAAAGATTAGATAAGATAAAGTACTTTTTTAAACCCAATAATCCAGAAAATATCACTTGAGTCATGAATAAGTTGATATAGGTTTCCTACAGTTTTATGAAACGGGTAGACGTTGAAAACTTACATTCGTGAAATACTAACCACAAGTTCTGAACGTCTCAGTCATACATCATAGAAAAACTCATCTAAGATAAGGTACAAAATGAAACAGGTCTATATTGTATGGGGTATTGTAATTCAAAGAAAACGATAATATTGATATGCATATATCCTATATACATTTTTAAATAATTCGTGACTACTTAAGTTCTTGTATAATTCTACTCAATTAAGCCACTAATTAGTATTAATGTATCTCGTGTTATAACTACAATTATCGTGTCGAGGTACATTTCTTTACGTGACACGATTGAGATATTAACATTACTCAATATCTAAAACTGCCAATCTAAGTTTTGTAGCCCATACTGTGAACTAAGAAGTCTACTGGACAGTAAACAATGTCATGATACCTAAGCCTTTGTGATAATCTAACTCTACAATCACAGCTACGATGTAGCAGGATAACCACTAAGCAGGTCCATGTATACGGAAAAAATAATGACATTGAAACAAATAACCTACCTTATTTGATGACGGATCTGGTGCGAAATTTCCATAGGATATAGCAGCTATTAAACAACACCAATAAACAACGTTTAACAACAGTATCAACCATAATGATATGTAAAATCTCCGTAGCTGAAACCAAAATCAGACTAAAATGTCAGTTTTTATCAGGAAAATGTTGAGCAAATATCCCGAAACCGACTAAACAACTACCTCTGCTCAGAATTATAGTCAGGTGAAATTAAGCTAACACCTTACACCGACATTCAATATTGGTATGTTGTTTTGGAATATTTCGTTTTACCGAAACCTGTCAGAAGGCGGAAATACATGGTAGATGTCAAGTGAAGTGGATCGAAATAAACAGCAGTGACATGCTTGGCGACTCTTCATTTAGCTTCAGTTTGTGAACATTTCATTAACCAATTGCCATTTATTGTCCATTTAACTCCTTCATGTCATTTGTCCTTATGTTGATCTTATTGAGTCTTTAGGCTATGGTAATATTGTGCCTCCAGTTAAAATTTTCAGCTTGTCTAACAAAAAATAAAGTGGATTTTTGTACCCATCTTTGACTACAGGACGATCAAACGACGTTGATCTGAATAAAATATATGTCGAACTTGAATTTTTCTTCCCGTACTATGTCCTCATATGCAATCCTTCTTTCATATATTACCAACACTGAATTAAGCACTTCTATGAATCCGGTGTTCACCTTGTTGTGCTAATGAGGTATGGTAACTTGGACCGATGCAGATATGTGCCTGGTCGTACGTTGTAACTAACTGACCTAATTTAATTCGTATATTTTTTTTTCGAAACATTCCACTAACGTAGATAATGCAAAGTCGAATACGGAAGTAATTCAAGACCGTATACTTCAAACGGTTGATAATGCAGGAGAAATAGCCAACTAACTTTTATTAAACGTGGCTCAATATTTATAGTCAGACAGAAAAAGACAGGTGGAATTTTTTTCTCTGAGCTGGATGGTTTGGTCGTGGAGCTTTCACCGTTCTTCTGAACGACATCATCAGCTCAGAGAAGAAAACTCCACCAAAATCATCCACCTGAGCTACAAATCTTCTCCACCATCTCAGAAAAAGACAGGCTAAAGGCATGTGACGAGTGGAGTAGTTGATGAACAAACACACGCAGGCAAACACATTAAAACGCTCAAGAATATCAGGGAATACTTGACAAGGGTAAATATATGTGTACACAACTACTGAAAAATACTGATTTATCTGTCTAGGAGTTCGAGTAAATCATGTAGGAGTCCGATAACAGAATTTGCTACAAAAGTAATCACTGTACTTTAATTAGATTTTATCTTAGGGTATTTAGTTGAACCAACTGCTTTACCAGCTGGTCACATGAGGTCCAATTTATCTTCCTGAAAGAATATTAAACATAAGTTTACGAATGTAAATCGTAAAAGGTCTAACGAAATCAGCCTGATTATAACATGTAACAATATGTGACAAGTTTTAACTTGGAAACTAGATAATACTCACAGAAGTGTAACGCAAGCTAATAATTGTGCGTAAGGCCATCGCTCCAGTGGATAAGACCTACAAATTATTTTTTGAGATAGAATACTTACCAGCACGCCGGTATAAATAGGAAGTCCATAACCACCAGCTAAGCTAAATTCAACAGGATAATTATTGGAATCATTTGGAGATAACGATGGGATAAGGACACTATCCAATAGTCCTGTGATTGTCAGATATAAGTGTAAACTACCTAAGAATGCACTGGCAATGCCGAAAAAAGCAAAACTAAATCCTAATATTTGCAGTCCATTCATATACTTAACCAAAACGCGTTCTCCAGATGGGAGGAGTAAGAAACAGTCTCCACGATGTGAGGTTCTTACCTCCTGAATACCGCAATTATCCTGTAGACTCATTTCATCTGGAAAAGCAGCTGAGTACCGTTGAGCTTGAAAAAACGCTACAAGCAGGAGCCAAAGTCTACAATGTATCATAAATAGAAATCAGTAAGCCATTTGTTTTCTAGGATGTACTTTGTTAATCGGAGACGATTCTTGATCGGAAAAGTACATATGCTTTTATGCTACCAGGGTCTTAAAGACAAAAACAGTGTAGATCACCAACTTGGATTATCCATGTCGAAATGATTGGAGGCCTACTCGAGTTAGACGTGAATGGTGTGACAGACTAACTTATTGACATTTCGCTGGCCCTAAAACAGTTAATGGTGGGAGTACAAATGGTTTGAAGAAGCTTTCCCATGATGGGCTTCCATATCTAGCAGCGGTAGATCACCGACACATCCAGGTAGAAACGTAGGTATATTTATTGATGTAAAGAAAGATATTGGCAAGATACAATTAGATGCTTCAAGGTCATCGCTCGGTATGCTTGAATATATATATATCGTCAGATGATGTCCTGGGTCCTTAAAAATATGACAAGTTTTCTCCTGGTGAATTCACGAGAGGTCACCCGACCTACCTCAGTCAGAAGCAAACTCTAGGATTTGACAACTCGTAAAGTGTAGAAATACTTACAGTCCATCCTGCTTTGCTGTGTCTATAACTTCTGGGTATTAATCTCAATGTTTGTTTTGGAAATGAGCCTAAGCGAGTACTTAAAAGGGTAGCCGTGAGTGTTTACGGTGCCAGGAGGCACTAGGAGGTCATCTCTCAGGCTTCTATACTCGAATTGGTCTGAATTTGTGACCCGAACTGGTTTCCTGGCTCGCCCGTTTAGCGAGTCACGGTTGGTGCAAGAATTCAGGTCGTAGAGCACCAACACTCCTAGATCTTTATCAACTTGTCGTACCACTAGAGAGGAGTTACCTAAGTTGTATACGTAGTGTACAACATGTCTCAGATAGACTACTTTACACGTCGAAGTGTTGAAAGTGAGTCCGTTTTTATCCTCCCAACTTTGAAGTGGAGTTAGACCCTTCTGAAGTGCCAACTTATCATCTTGGTTGAAAACGTCTCCCTGTAGTTTTGCATCGTCAGCGAAAAGTGATAAAGCAGACGATATTTGCTGAAGGAAGTGGTTTATATAGATTAAGACTGTAAGCAGTATTGGTACTGAACCCTTATTAACCCCACTAGGACATTATGTGGCTTGGAAAAAAGCAAAGTGCACCCTGACCCCAAAAAGTCGATTATTTAGGTTATCAACGGTGACCTGATACCTAACATTTTGAGCTTACTGGAGAGACATACATCCATTTGTTGTGAGAGTATTAAGAGAAGTGCTTTCGACAATTATCTTGAAGACTTATTGCTTTTAATGTTTTTGAAAATTGGTTTCACGTGCTCCAGCTTTTAATTTTATGGTCAACTGCCACGGCTTAACGAGTGCGAGACCATCACACTTGTTCGCGTTGCCAAACATGTAGCCGCAGCTCTCTGAAGGAACCATATCCAGATTAGGAGAAGTGTTCTTGTTTAGATACTGGTTTTGATATATCAGTCCAATGTATAGATCTACTACTAAGACTCCTCTTAGTTTATATGTGAATACCTAATCGATGTAAGTTATACGTGAAAGTTGAAATGTTCAAAAATACTGCTTTCCCAGGAACAGTGAAGAATCACCATCGTTGTCCATTAGGCCACTATGACCTAACAACTGAGAAACTCCGGATTCGGTTCATCGAAGAGAGGTTGTATGACGGAGTGATCTCTCTCGGTCAGAGACAAATATATCGATCAGCTTTACCTGATTTTGAAAATTATCTTCACTTACAGCCTTGGTGCACTGGCTTCTTGCTTATTTGAACTGTCTATATGTACTGTCATCACTGATCCGTTCATACTGCGCCCAGTAGTGACTTTTGCATAGTAGCATTTAAAGCGTGAGATTTTTTATGACTGTAAGTTGCTTTCAATATTTGGTGGAAGCTTGGAGGACAGACTGTTTTGTATCACATAAGATCGTATGTAGTCAGAAATCACAATGAGCATCACGTTACGTTGAAGGTGGGCTTTCACGTTCATCTACTGTATATTGACTTGTAAAACTGATTCATTCAACCGTTTGAAATTCCAGTACTTGTTGTTAGCAGGATGTTTTAACTGATTTTTGATGGTAAAAATGAAGGCTATGATGGCATGATCGCTTTTGCTCAGGGAAATCAGGGTTGAGAGATTGCCAACTAGAAATTCTTCGTTCATAATTACGCAGTCTAATCCTGTTGGCGTCTGACCGTTTCTCTACCAATTCGTTAACCTCACATCTTAGAATAATTTCAGATCTTCACTGAGATTGAAGGACCGAGCTTCAGCAGCGTTGTCATCTCCAATCTACTTGTGTTCAGCAGAGATGTCTTTAGGGATACTGAAGTCTCTTAAAATTAGTATGTGAGTGTATCGGAGATTAATAGAGTAGGACGATTCCTCCAGCATACGACTATCGTACTCAGTGTCGCCCGTGAGCCTCCTGTAGATGACTCTAACGAAACATCCAGAGATATTAAATGATCTCCCTGAGAACCATAAAGATTCATCAAGGCTGGAATATGTATGAATGTACACATGATGTACTACCAAACACGATCGTAGGCAAAGAGCTTGCTTGTCTCTCACTCCAGTGTTTCTGTCATTGGGAAATAGGAACACATAGGGTGTCAACAGCTTCTGATCAGCCTGTTTTAAAGATGCTTTTGTCCGAGATGTTTCCATCAGATGAGTATTAATGGCATTGTTTAGTCCACCCAACTCACACATTTAACTTAATAGACTCGCAGCGTTCATGTATAACCAGTTGGTGCTGGTATTCTATAACCAATAACGTACATTTGTTTTCAGAGTTTCTCCACAGAATATCAGCTAGCTTGAGTCAAAAACTGCTCAGAAATGTTTTTATTGTTTGCCTAGGACCTCGACTGCCTATGACCACATTCCAAGACAACTGCTAGTTACCAAGTCGATCATCGTCAACACTGACATTGGGAAAACCAACTGACTGATTTCCTACTTCTCTGGAAGAGAACAGTACACTATGATTGGAGGAAAGTCTTCAATGTCTCTACTGTCTCATGAAGGTGTGCCACAAGGAGATATTCTTTCCTGCTCTTCTCTCTTTTTTCTGCATGATCTGCTATATTTCACAAGAAACGCTTTTGTAAAATATGTGAAGGATCTGACTGTATGTGTGCCGCATTTATATTCAACAACAGAAGAAACGATACAAATGAAGAAATAACAAAGGATAAATCACAGGAAGAACGAATATTGAAGGAGTTTCTCATATATTCTTGTAAATAAATGTAATAGGATTTTGCGCCTTCTACACTGACTTTTTCTTCGTTTTTATCGACAGCCGACGACTACACGAAAAGGTCTTTGGTATCAAACAGCCGGCTTAAAACCACATGCTCCGGAAGAAGTGTGAAGTCACTGGAACACACAAACGACTACTCTGTATCGGAAGCCTAGAATCCTTACTCTTTTTCTCTCTTGTCGCCCATTCTTGACAGCTTGGTGGTGACATTTTAGATTTTTATTACATTTAAAAGAAACTAGTGCAAAAGATCTCTTTTTGGTACGCTCACGTTACTTACTTACGCCTGTTACTCGCAATAGAGCATAGGCCACCGACCAGTATTCTCCAACTCTGTCCTGGGCCTTCTTTTCTAGTTCCATCCAATTCTTGTTCATTTTTCTCATGTCTATCTCCATTTTCCGTCGTAATGTGTTCTTTGGTCTTCCTCTTTTCCTTTGGCCTTGAAGATTCCAAATGAGGGCTTGTCCTGTGACGCAGTTCGGTGCTTTCTTTAATGTATGTCCTATCCACTTCCGGCGTTTCCTCCTGACTTCTTCCCCCGCTGGGATCTGGTTTGTTCTCTTTCACAGTCGGTTGTTGCTAATAGTGTTCCGCCAACGGGTCCGAAGTATTTGGCGTAGACAACTGTTAATAAACGCCCGTATCTTCTGGATGATGGCTTCCGTAAATCTACAGGTTTCTGCCTCATAAAGTAGAACTGTCTTGACATTTGTATTGAAAACTCTGACTTTGGTGTTGGTTGACAGTTGTCTTGAGTTCCAGATGTTCTTCAATTGTAAATATGCCGCTCTTGCTTTGGTGATCCGCGCCTTCACAACTGCATCAGATCCACCCTGTTCATCAATGATGCTGCCCAAATATATAAAGGTTTTTACATCTTCCAAATCTTCTCCGTCAATTTTGATTGGATGGGTTCGACAGGTCCGAAAACTAACCAGGGGGAATAATACACTTGATTTAATGTTCACAATCAACATAGACTCTATCTCAGTACATACCAGTCATGAGTTTTTTATGAGTGACCATAGAGTTGTATTGAGTATTATTCACTCTTTAAACGCCATACAATTGAACTCTAAAGCTTCATTGATGTACCAAAGCAGACATTTTGATCAACAAACATGGAAACGGACTGGAACTCTCATTCAATGTTTACCATGGGAAACTTATTTTACCACAAATAATGTTGACATTGCGCTTTCCAATCTATACCACAACCTGATATATTGTCTTGACTGCACTGCTCCAGTTATTGGCCGTGTGGCTTATAATGCTAATAGGGGCCAAAATACTTTTAAAAGAAAGCTGAGGAAATTAAAATGCCGCTACTACGAGCAGAATGATGTGTATGCACTTCAGAGTATACTTAAATTAATCAACAGAAATGCTTCATCTAAACGTAAGTATTTTATGAATATAGAAAATAAAGCTCTACGTAGTAAAAGCCCAGAATTATCAATACTTCGGCTTTTTAAATCCCGTGTAAAGTCAAATTCCCTTGGCACGACTAAATTCTTCATAGTTAACGGAAGCATTGTTAACGACCCGAATACTATATGTGAACAATTCAGCAAGCACTTCTCGCAGTGCTACAAAACTGGAACTGAAAACTCCATCATTACATTTCCAATGCTGA